TTTTTTTATAATGATTTTTTATTAAAAGTATAAATGTTAATTTTAATTTAATTAATTAATTAATTAAAATTATCCATGTATCAATGATATTAAAATATACATTAATTTTTATAAATTTTAATATGAATTAATTTTAAAAAGATAAATTTATTACACTTTTAATTTATATTTTTAAAATACAAATTTAACAAATTAAAAAAATCAGAACTGACCCAGATAATAACTTTTAAGACCTTGGATGAATTAATAGTCCACAATTAATTTTAAAAAGATAAATTTATTACACTTTTAATTTATATTTTTAAAATACAAATTTAACAAATTAAAAAAAAAAGGACTTCTGAAAGTGGATTTGATTAATTATGAGCTCAATATATGGTATTATTGTGCCCTCAAATTTGGAAAATTTATCAAAAAAAAAAAAAATGCAGATGTTCCCACAAACATGGTATCCACAGCACAATTATGACGATGGCTTTGTAACCATATCACGTATATTGCCTTGCGACAAAAAAAAAAACCATCCCATATATATTGAATGCTAAGGATAATTATTAGAAGGCCGACGGTGCATGATAGCCACACGTCAGTTAATCTCTTTTGCCTTTATTATGGTTAAATTAAAAATTAGTCCCTTATTTAGCAATTTAAACTTTTTTAGTTCCTTAATTTTTTTGAATTATTTTTTAGTTTTTAAACTTAAATTAAAAATTAGTTTTCAGAATGTTAGGGTTTTAGATTGTTTTAAATTTCAATAATTAGGTTGTTAGGATTTAAATTTTTTTAAAGTTTACTAGCATTTAAGATGTTAGATTTCCAATTTTTTAAAGTTTAATTAGAATTTAAGGTGCATATTAAAGTTTAGAATTTTAGTGTTAGGAATTAGAATTTTAATGTTAAGGTTTATATTATTAATTTTTAGGATTTAATATTTAAATTTAATATTTAATAACTTAAAAATAAAAATTAGAAGTTATTATATTTAAAATAAAAAAAATAGCTACAGGGACCAATAGGCTTGGAGACCGATCACAGTTACTCGAATGCTAATCTTGTCAGGTTAGCATATCTCCCCAATCCCAAGTGCTTTCACAATAATTAAACAAAACCATCAAACAAAACCATCAGAATCTTCAAGATAAATAAAACAGCTGGAAAATCACCCCCTCCTCCAATGCATTTTTCAACCATATCAGATTCTAATAATAATAAACAAATTAAAGGAAAAATCTTGCCATAAAAAGGAAAATGATTTTTAAATAATTTTTTTGTATTATTTTTTTGTACAACTTGATATATCACTTAAATGATTGATTTTTTTTTTATTTATATGAGATTCGTAATACTAAATGTATTTATTTATTTAATAACATTTGAAAGTTGTATTAAAAGACGATATAAAATTATTATCCCTATATTAGCATATTTATAAAAATGATCACCAACTTGTGTAGAATATTTTTTTTACTTGCCAATGATATAGATAACTCAGTAATTATCTTTTTTCGCTAAAAGTAAGAGGTTCTAAGTTCAAGCCGCATACCATGCAAGTGAAGTGAAATAATGAATGAGCCATGATTGTTTTTTTTACTGTACAACCAAAATAAAAAAAATCTAGTACTTAAAAAAATAATAACCCTTCAAAATGTGATCAATTCAAAATGGTAGTTGGCGTGAGGGCAACTCCAACTTTCATTTCCACATATATATCCATCAATCATTCATATCTTTCTCTTAATCCACCAAAAGATATAGTTTGAGCCATGGCATCCATTGATAAGCCTGACCCTGAAGTACCCACCAAGCTGGTGGCCTCGGAGGGAGCTCCTCCTCTTCCTCCACCCCCCGCGCCTCCTTGCAAGGTGGACTATTTCGCGGTGGATGTGGCTCTGAGGGTGTGGCTGTTTGCGGCTGCAGTGACTTCTGTTGTGGTGATGGTTACTAGCGAGGAGACTGAGGTAGTTCCAGTCCCTGGTGTGCCTAATCATATTCTGCCTCTTCCAGCAAAGTTTAATCATTCTCCTGCCTTCATGTGAGTATATTAGAGTGTATTTGTTTAACAAATTAATTAATTATTTCACCTTAAATTATTTGTTTTACACGTAACTTAAAACACTGCATGCAGCAGCCAGCATGTACTTTTACACATACGATATATATAGATTCATAGAGTCCAAAAATATTCTTTGGAGAAGTTTACCAGTTATTCATAACATAGTATATCAATTAATTATAAAAGAAAATAATGCATATTTATCCTTCCTGATTTTCAAGCAAAGATATTCAATAGGGCATAAAACCCATGGTTTATAAGATTGCTTCTCTCTGCTAAACAAGTCAAGTGTATTTCTGGGTACTAATTACTACTCCATCTCATGCAACATAATAATTACTTTAGCTCTTTTGAGTAAAAAAATTTTAGTTATCGAATCCTTCACGTTCTGGTTCAGTGATATTGATCATAGGTTAATGAGATCATCTTCATTGATTACAGTTTCGAATTCCACAGATTCTTTTTTCCATATCCCTTTTCCCCCTCCCCCTATTATAATCATGTTCAAAAAAAAAAAAAAAATAGTTATCATTTATATGGTATATAAAACCATGACTTAAAGTTACACGTAAATAGACCAATAATTAAAATCAATTGAAGGTATTTTTTTTTAATGTCCTTAGGACAGCAAGTTAATTAATTACTGTAATCTCAATGATTGAGTGCTGTGGAGTGTGGAAATCTACTCATATCCAGCAAAATTTGTCCCTATCATGGAGAATAAAGTGACATAATTTTCACAATTTAAAAAAAAAAAAAAAACATAAAGTTGGCAAACCACCTATCTTATTTTAATCAGTTGTTTAATGATTATTATTTTTTAATACAATTTGGTTTGAATAAAGTAGTAGATAAACAAAAAGCTTTCAAAAAATAAAAACAGGCCAAAAATAAAAGAAATAAAAACAAAATTCAAAAACAGTAATGTTACTAAAATGGACCTAAATTTTCATGTAATGTGTCATCCTTCAGATACTTTGTGGCAGCATTATCCGTTGCTGGCCTGTACAGCATCATCACAGCCCTTGCTTCCATTTCTGTTCTTTTGAAGCCTGACTTTTCCAAGACGTTCTTGCTCCATTTTGCTTTCTTGGATTTGGTAAGCTCTCTGTTCCTCTTCTTTCAACTGATGAAATTGGAATGAATCCAAACCCTCCAGCAACTCTGACTGACTTCATTTACTTTGCTAATGTTTTGATGCAGCTAATGCTGGGGGTGGTAGCCTCTGCCGTTGGAGCAGCAGGGGCAGTTGGTTATATTGGATTAAAGGGTAACAGCCATGTAGGCTGGAGTAAGGAGTGCTCTGTTTATAAAAAGTTCTGCACGCATGTAGGCAGCTCTATTGCAGTTGCATTGTTTGCTGCGGTTCTGCTGGTGCTGCTGTCCATGCTCTCTATCTCATCCCTTCACAGACGCATCCGGGATTAGAGATGATCATCCAGAATTTCACTCACAGCTTCTAATCATCTGTTTGTGTGTGCTTGTGTCGAAGAAACACGGCATTGTGCTTGCGTATATCTGCTGGGATTTCAGCGTAAATGGTATCTACTTGGACCTTATTGTGCTGTATCGTATGTTTTTTTTTTTTTTTTAATATATTTGTGAGTTCTCATCCATTATACAATTAAGCAAGTGGTAATTGAATTGTTTATGTTTTATTGGTACATAGACTTGGGAGATGTTTACCTATACTGCCATTTCCCCTAGAAAATATTGATTTTGGCTGAGAAAATAAAGGACAATAAAGAAACAGAAAAACCCAAGTAGATGCAGAAGAAATTAAAGCAGAACTTCTCCCTTCTCCCTTCCGGAGTTTTTCTCCTTAGATATCAACAAACTCCAAGACAATGATACAATGATGTCCTGTGCTGTTATTTTTTGGAGAAAATGTTTGATTATGTTACGAGCTTTGCTGCAAACGTAGAGGTTTATAATTACTTGCTTCACGCGTATATGTAGGAAATAACTTTCAGAAGATTGTTTGCTCTCCCAATTCCTGACCAGCCATCCCCTCCGTCAGCACTCTCTCAAAGAATTCTTCTAGGGTCTTTCCATAGCTAGGTGTTTTCTCAGCACTGTACCCTCCAGTCTCAGGATCCAAAACCAACATACTCTCAGCTGCATAGTACCTTCCAATTTTTCTAAACTCAGCTGCATCTTCCATTGCAGGGAATATCTTGAAAAAAAAAATCAAGAATCCCAATGGCAAAATCCATTAATCCCAATTGGCACTTTCAAGAACTTCGGTTCCTTCCCTAGAAGCTTAAACAAAATCTCCCCTTGCTCCAGTGGTGTGTCAATGCCTTCCCTGGGCCACCTATTGGCAATACCTGGTTAATCTCATTTACTCAACACACAATCTGCAATAAATGACGCCAGATCCCGCTCGCTAATTGGCTTACAAGCACTGTAGCACATAACTTCCCATAACCAAACATCACATAAGGCTTCCCCTCTTTCACCAACTCAATTTTAACACCCCCAAGCTCTTAAAGAATGCAGTTGGCCTCACAATGCTATAGGTGAATCCATTATCTAATTCAGCTTCTTTCATCAATTCAGCCTCAAATTTCAGCTTTGCTCGCTGAAATTCAAGAAGGGGCTTTTGCACACACATAGCAGAAAGTAATACAAAATGTGATGCCCCTAATTTCCTACCTGCAAGAAGACTATTCTTTGTTGCCTCAGTCAATTTTCCAGGAATCCTTAACACCACCAGTCCGGCTAGCAATACAAGACACAACAACATCAAATGACAAACCTAATTCCTGCAAAGAATTCTCCGAAGTACCCAAATTGGTAACATCTGAGAAAAACACATTAGCTCCCTGCAATTCATTCAAGGTATCTTCTTTACTATTCCTACGCCTGATTCCACTCCTCTCCCTTGCAATGGCTATAACATTGAACCCCTATTAACAAGCTCATTAACTACAAATTTTCCAATATACCCAGTTGAACACACCACCAGAATATTAATATCGTTTGGGTTTTTACTTCTAAAGGATGATGCTTTAGTAGTTTCAACACTATTTGTTGTGAAGCTGTAATGGGTTTGAATCTCTCTCTCTCTTAAGTTCCGAGGGCTTTGATAAGTTCTGAGATGAAGATGCTATAGCGGAAGATACTGAATTTACCTGGATTTCTCTGATGGATTGACAGGAGAACCGAGTTTTGTAGATTGGGGGCCGTGCTGAATGGAGGGTGGATGCATTAAAAGTGGAACAAAGGGGCATTCTTTTCCTTTTTTACATGTTTCCTTCAGTTCAAGAAAAGGTTTTGGTTGAAGAGAAGTGAAATGGGTTTTGTGTTTTCAGGAACATAGAAACAAAGGAAACCAATTTAAGTGTAGCAAGAAATGAAAGGGCAGGAACGTGAAGAAAAATGTTTGGCAAGTAAGCGGTGCTTCATGGTCAGTGTGAGTTTTGTACGCCACGGGGAATGCTGAAAATGTAGGTGGATAAGAAAACCAATCTAATCGAGTCATCGGGTCGGGTCGGGTCGGGTCGGGTCGGGTCTAATTTTATCAGTTCCATTTCTCAATCTACGCATCAAAAATAAAACAGTTTCCACCACTGGCGCCTGGAAATGCCGAGGAAAACTTCAAAATTATTATTATTATTATTTTAATCAAAATTAAGTTCATTTCTTGCAAAATGAAGGTGATGATGGGCAGAAAATGGCCATTTCTCAGTGTAATCTCGAGGCCATTGGTGTTAGGATTTCTTTTAGTGACAGCTGTTTGGCTTTTGTTTGCACCATATAGCATTTATATATTGTTGAGAAATGGTATGTAGAGGCAGAAGGAGAGAGATTAATAATATATTTAGTTTGGAAAAAATAAAAGGGTAAGGAAAAATAAAGGGGTGAAGAGGAAAAAAATAAGATTTTTTAATTAATTAAATTATAATATTTTTAAATATTATAATTTAATTAATTTAAAAAAATTTTCCTCTTCACTCCCCTTCGAACTCAAACATGTTATAAAGGTAAGGTTTTTTTTTTTTTTTTCTTAAACCATAATTTTAAGAATTTTTTTTTTTTACTCTATCAAGGGATTTCGGGTAGGACTTTTAACTCTTCTTTTTTTTTTTTGTTTGCAATCTTATTCCTTTATCTTTTTATTTCATATTTTTTGAGGCTTTGGTAGGGCTTATGCCTAACCCAACCTCCATGTGGTTCTGCCCTGATGGTATGCAAGAGAATAATACTTAGTGGCGGTGAATTTTGTGATGGAACTACTCTATATCCTAATCCTATAATTAATGTATTGAACTTCTATGCAATCTTATTCCTTGATCTTTCATTTCATATTTTTTGAGGCTAGAGTAGGGCTTTTGCATAACCCAACCTCCATGTGGTTCTGCCCTGATGGTATGCAAGAGAATAATACTTAGTGGTGGTGAATTTTGTGATGGAACTACTCTATATCCTAATCCTATAATTAATGTATTGAACTTCTATGTGTAGGAATGTTCTAAAGTGGAAGTTTGAAAAGGAAAGGGGGATCTTTGGTTGTGTAATTTATAGGGGTGGCACCGGCAGGTTTGGTTACAACCGAAATTAAATTTTTTGTTAATTGAATTTTTAGTTACTATATTTTTACAATTAATAACCAAATTGAATAGAACAGGTTTTATCGGTTTGGTTGTATTTTTAAAAATAACCATTTAGATAAGTTTCGATTTAATTAAAGAATCATTTTTGAAATATTTTTAATATTTTTAAAATTTTAATTATTATTTTATTAATTTAATCACTAAAAAACTAAAAATTATCTAAATAAATAAATAATTTGATAAAAAAATATTAACATTAAAAATTTATATAAAAGGTTTTCTAGTTGAAATTTTCAATTGTACTCACCTTAATCATTGATTTTTTTTTTTTTTTTAGTTTTAAAACTTAACAACTAAAATTTAAATTGTTTAGAATTAGTTTGGTTCAATTTTTAGTCAAACCCTACTTAATGGTTATGGTTTTGCTAGTTTTTGAATTATTTCCTGATTGCAGGTTTTTTTGTCCAC